TTACCCACTAAAAAAGTCTACTTCCGAGGAGTCAGCTTCTCCTCTCCTCTTACTCGGAACCGCTGTATGGCATAAGTTCGGGTTCGTACGTGATCTTGGGGTTTTATATCTTATCTATGCAGGGGTGGATGGGCCATATGGGAAAAACGGGATAATTCCCGGTGGACCGGTGGAAAAGATAGGCCGGTGGACCGGTCACGATCAGAGCTTAAAAAAGATTGGATTAGCAAAAATTAAATGTTTAATCTTCTATGTATAGTGGCGTAAGATCCTTAGTGACTCCCCCGCTTAGAGGGTTGAATATTTTGCAATCATTTTTGGGTCAAAAGTTGTCCCCCTCACAAACAAAATTGACGTGTTTTTGAATTTTCTGAAAAAAAAATTACCCTAACCGTTATGCCTTGCGGAACGTTTTTGATGGGCCACCCTGTACATAATCGGACGTTTAATATTAGAAAAAATGCTTATGTGTCTTATATGTATATGTATAAACCCACATATTATTATACAGGGTGAGTCTTAAAAAAGTGCAAATATTTTCAGGGCTAAAAAAGAAACATATTTTCTCTTTATAGTTTTTCAACCAAATCTAAAATAAGCGAGATATTTTACTTTCAAAATTTCCAAAAAAAATAATTTTTTGCAAAAATTTTGGGGACTACTGGATCTTTTCTGGATTTTCTTTTTTGTACATTTAATTTACTACTTACAAATTACATTTTTTAACTAAAAACACTTTTCCAAAAAATTTTTCCAAAAATTCCAAATTTTCAATTTTTTTTTTCGCGAAAAAACCTCACAATCGTATTTCTGGGGTCGAAATATACTACCCCTAAAAATATTTGCACTTATTTAAGACTCACCCTGTATATATTTTAAGAATATATACTAAAAAGATACCCAGCCAAACTCAGTGACAAAAAATATTAAAGCTGCAGAACATCGTCGTTAAACTACAAAAAAACATCTTGATGTTTCGATATCATCTTTGATCAATTTATGATAGCTCCAGCAACCCAACAACAATTTATCGCTAACATTTATAATAAATCTCCCTTTGTTTCAATGTTAAGTGAAAACCTGATCACTGAAAATATTTCAGTGAAACGAGCCGCTAATGCCCTCATAGTTGAAGCAGCAATAGAAAAATAAAATTCAATGCAGCAAATTTAACTATTGTGGTTGGCGAAAATGTGTTGATTTGCTAATACTACTCACCGCACGGACTCCAATTGATAAAATTATCTACTTTTTAAAACCTGGAAAAGCCCAACGGAGAACTAAAATATATTGTTTAAAAAGTTTATCTGGGGGTGGTAAAAACATTTTATAGGCGAGTGGTTTTCGTTTCCACCACCATCTCGAGAGAGACGATCATAGAGACGAACTCCAAACAGTGTGGGAGTCGAATTGTTACCCACTAAAAAAGTCTACCTCCGAGGAGTCAGCTTCTCCTCTCCTCTTACTCGCAACCGCTGTATGGCATAAGTTCGGGTTCGTACGTGATCTTGGGGTTTATATCTTATCTATGCAGGGGTGGATGGGCCATATGGGAAAACGGGATAATTCCCGGTGGACCGGTGGAAAGATGGGCCGGTGGACCGGTCCCGATCAGAGCTCAAAAAAAGATTGGATTAGCAAAAATTAAATGTTTAATCTTCTATGTAAAGTGGCGTAAGATCCTTAGTGACTCCATAACTAACTAATCAATTTGCATCAGTATAATCGTCAGTTTCTTTTAAACATAAATACCAATTTGTAAAATAACTATTGTAAAATGTCTTTCTCGGGGACACTTATAATTTTAATAATCTGTTGTTTGTTCAGTTTGAAAAATTTTATTATACAAGGTGAGTCTATAAATGCAAATATTTTCAGGGCTGGTAGATCTCAATAAAATAAACATAATATATTCTCTTTACTGAGTTTCAAATAAGTCCAATCGAGTTATTGAAGTTTGGAAATTAAAAAAAATAGTTTAATTTAAAAAAAAATTGAGCCACCTCAATTTTTCGGTATTTGCATCTCTTTTAGTGTAATATCAGAGATTAAGAAACTATATACCGTGGAAAAATTTGCGGTGAACAGGAAGTTCTAAAAATTTTTCTAAAATATACAGGAAAATGCTCGATTTTTAACATAATTTTTTGAAAAAAAACCTCATAGACGTCTTCCTGGGGTCGAAATATACCACCCCTGAAAATATTTGCACTTATTTAAGACTCACGCTGTATAGTTTTACTCACTATTCTTTTATTAATAACTAGTAAATATGACTGACTGGCAGCAGAAAAAGAATGAATAACATTAGATAAATTTAAATAGTCTCGATCTCGATGTTGAAAAAGATTGACAACTGAGAACTGGGGGCCTCGGGGAAAAATTTTGGAACTCCTCTTTGTAAAAAGGTAGACGAATTTGATGCGAACTCTGCGGTTGAAGGAGAAAACATATAGATCTATACTTGGTTTGAATTGGGGACGGACTAAAAGCTAAGTCTGAGAACTAAAAGCCAAGTCTAAATTGTTGTTTAAAATATTGCTAAAATGTATTTGCTAAAAATTACTGAGACAGCAGAGAAGAGTTAAATAAGGTTTAAACTAGATTAGATAATAAAATGTTAATATGTCTCGAAAATCCAAATATTCTTATTATGGACTGTAACATAGCATTACATCAGAACATTGGTTTATATCCACTGCATAGGTATTGCCCAGTTTTTTTTGTTTGATTCATGGCATTATCATACAAGATGCCAAATGTAGAAAAGTATAGAGGAAATGTTTCGTGATAAGAACTATATAATAACCTAAAAAATGCTGCAGTTTTAATGGCGGCCGCGGTTCATTCAGTTAAAAACACGTATACACGAGGCTGCTGCTGTAGCAGAAAAGAGAGAATTTCTTTCTACAATGTGTAAGAAAGTATATACCCGAAAAGCTAAAAGTAATGTATTTCACAGAGGATTGGGTCAGCTGAACTGAATGAATCAGGAAGTCTTAAAGTTTCTCAAAATCGTAGCCTATTCAAGATCAAACTACCGTTATCGATAATGGAGATAAAGCAGTTGAACCCTGTAAAACTGAGCCATAGTAAAAATTCAGATGTCCGACCCAATATTGGTTTTTACGAAAATTTTGATGAAGACAATTTAATTTTCTTTTTAAAAAACGGAGGCAAAAGAGCTTTTTCGCACTAGCGAAAAACACTCTTATATATTAATAAATAAAATATGTTTCTTCGTTATGGTCAATTTGTTTTTGTAGATTTGGGCCGGTTGCCTGTTTTTCCCGGACCGTTTTCCACTTCCCCATCCACCCCTGTATCTATGTTAATTTTTTCCACATATATGGTAGATACTTCCACATTTCTTGCCTTTTCTTCTTTTCCTTTCTCTATTATTATTTCTTTCATAAATGCCCCTACCTTTCCTCATATTTCGCTAGTTTTGGTCATTTTCATAATCAAGGTGTCCGAAGTAAACATTCCTACATTCGACAATAAGGCAGACCTTTCGTTTTCCCATCTTGGACAGCAGAGCAACGTATGCTCGGCATCGTCGAGTTCGTCGCAGTACATGCAGTTGCCATTTGATATTTTTTATTCTCTGCAAGAAGTCCATGAAGACTCCATGCCCGGAAAGAAACTGCGTACTGTAATAGTGCACGCCTCCCTGTTTCCTACTCGTCCAGTCCTCCACGTTGTGTATTAACTTTCTAAGTCCACCTTCCTTTGTTGGATACATCCCACTCCTCTTGCCATTTTTGATAGGTACCTCTTCGTTGCTGTTTTTTCAGCTCATTGTTATCTCTGCTTTGACCTATAACTCTCGCTTTTCTCAGCTCCTAAATGTAGCGGGATCAGCCCAGCTGTAACCAACACGGCATCTGTTGATATCGTACGATACGCTGAACAGATCCTTAGGGCCATTTTTCTCTCTGTGGAAAATAATATATTTTTCGTCCGTTGGAATTTTAGTGCCTCGACCTATACAGGAGCGCCGTATAGAATTATATTTTGAATTGATAACGCAAGAACTTTTCTTTTTTTTGAGGACGATCCTTTTAGATCCCGAAGTCACAGAACAGATACAAATCAGAAATTTCACTGAACGTCGGTGCCTTTCAAGTGTGTTGTAAGAATTCCCTTCGTCGCGCACAGATTTCATCCCTCTGCGCGCCGCTCAGCTGATCATTAGTTGACGGCTTTAAACGAGCCAGGGTCGAACTCAGATACGTGTGAATCGTAACAGGAGCGTATTTCGTTTTTTTAACAGTATTTATTTGAAATAAGTAATATTTAGTAGTGACAAAATAAATAATGTGTAAAAATAATACGAAAAATCATGCCAATTGATTCAAATGTTTAAAGCGTTATTTTACAAAAAAAAAAACGTGTTCATTGAGTTGAGTCATTGTTTTGTATCTCGTTTTTCTAGAAATAATATTTAATTTTTAAAAAGAAAAATCACAAAAATAATTCCGACAAGGCGGGTTTTGTGGCAGTATGATACATATTGCAGGTTTTGTTGCAGTATGATGCATATTGCGGGCTTTGCTACACCAAGATATTTGCATCCTAACTTGATTTATTAGATAATATGCTATTTTATTAAAATTAGGTAAGGAAATTGAAATGGATAAGATGTCAGTAGTAAAGTATTAATATTATACTTGTGTAAAGGGGCCTATGAAAAAATGCAGGATTTGCAATAAGTAATAAGGATTTTGCTGCAGTAAACTAATTTGTAGTGAATTTTTTATAGGAATAAGCGACTTTTAACTGCAGTTTGGGACTATGTTTATGTAAATTTCAGGGTCCCACTATAAGCTTAACGTTGTCATGATTTTATGATTCAGCAGTTTTAATTTTTTTCAATACAAACCTTCATTTGAAAATGTAGACAGAACATAATAAAACAATTTGACTGATATAAAATAACATTTTATTTGTTATTATAAATATGCAAAAATTTTACATATAATCATAGCAATGTGATATTAGGTACAAAATCTAATACAATTACTTAAATGTAAATGATCCTAAAATTTATTAATACAAATGAAAAATTAAAAAAAAGAATAGATAAATATCTATGATCTAACTAAACTTGATAATTAAAAATATCTAAATTGTAAAGAAAATTTGTATTTAGGAATTTATCGTATTTAGAAACATATCTATATAAAGTAAAATCGATAAAAATTTAGTTTCAATAACACATTTTGCTTTTATTTTACCGTTTTAAATAAATATTATTTATAAAAAATATGAATGAATATTCCGGATGAAATTCCAACTTTCTTTTCAAACTTCTAATTTGTAACCTTAACCCATGTTTCCTTGGACTGTCTGCACTAAGGGATGTAGGTATCTGTTGTGAAAAATCTATACCAACAAGAAATAAAAAAATATTATATATCTATTTGAAATATTGATCTTCTCTAAATATTATAAAAACAAACTACCAAAAAAAAATATTTATTGAAAACTGGAATTCTATACCCTATATTAGTATGGAAGTACAGATTTATACAGGGTGGCGCAGCTCATTCGCATCAGTTGATTGTACGACAACGGAAAGATGTAGAAACCTACTAGGCAGAAACCTGTTGTTGGAAGTGAAGAAAATGAATTTGCCTTAATTGGCTCTTTTATAGAAAATCCAATATATCTACCAGTAAATCAAAGAACTACTACTTTATTTTTCTTGATAAAATAATAAATACTTATTAAACTATTGTTGGTAAATTAAATAAAAATAAACTGTTATAAATTTAAATAAAGTCCATAAACTAATGTCGATTTTGAAAAGAGCTACTATAACTGTCACTAGCAAATTGCCATGATGAGTGCCATTTTATTGAAAAGTCGCTCTTTATTCAAAATCTCAGCCAGATAGGTATAGGAAAGCCTAATATAGTTTGAAAGAGCATTTAAATCTGCTTCGACTTATTTTAAAAAATACATAGTGATGTATTTGAAATAACGAAGTTTTTATGTAAAGTAAATATTTAAAATAGACCAGCAATTTTTGATACCCCTGTATACATTTAAGGATGCAATACATTTTTTTAGTAAAGTTTATTTCTCTGGCTTCAAAGTCAGCACAAGTATTAACTCTTAAAAATTAATGTGCAGGGTGTTGACAAACTTTGTTATTATAACATGCATATTTAAATGTCTTTAAATATCTCAAAAACCAAAACTTTTAAACACATTAAACCCTTATAATAAATACCTTATTTTATGTTCAAGAATCAAAATACCGTGTGTTCCATAAGAAAAAAATATAACTTTGGTATGGATCTTAGTTGTGACACACCCTATACATTTCAAAATAATTTTAAATTAAATATTTTAAAAATTAAGCCTTTCCACATATACCCATAAAATATTTTGTTTCTATATCTTTACGTTTTCGTATAATCAACCGAGGCGAATGAGATGCGCCACCCTGTATTTAGCCTTGTGCTTACAAAGTATTTTACTCACCTTCAGATGTAACTTCCTTGGATGTTGATGGAATAGCGATTACATCTGGTGAAGTAGATTCTGAAACAGCTGAAAACATAAAAAAATATTTATTAAAAACTGGAATTCTATACCCGATATTGGTATGGCAGTTCAGATTTATATTCAGCATTGTGTTTAAAAGGTAATAGTATTTTACTCACCTTCAGATGTAACTTCCTTGGATGTTGATGGAATAGCAATTACATCTGGTGAAGTAGATTCTGAAACAGCTGAAAACATAAATTAAAATATTTATTGAAAACTAGAATTCTATACCCTATTGCATTGTGTTTAAAAGGTTAAAAAAATAGTATTTTACTCACCTTCAGATGTAATAGGAACAGCGGGAATAGTAGCTTCAACTTCCATCATGGAATTGTCTACAAAAATATATTTATTTAATTTTTTTGAGCATAACACAAACACAATTTTAAGAGGCAAAATTGAAAGCTAAATGTTATTGTCAAAAGTTTTTGTTTTTCAGTAATATAGTATTTGTCATAAAAATATTGAAAATATTACACAGAACCACCACGAACAGACTGAAACTGGATTTTCTAAGTGCCTATCTATAAACAAATTTTGTTTATTTAAATGTTCGTTTGTGCAAGTGTATAAATCGATTGTGCAGATAAACAAGCAACTGATGATTTGAAAAAAATAACAAGTAAAATTAATAATAATGCTTATAGAACCTACCTGACATAAACTTGGAACAGCAAATTTCTTTAGACGGCTTTGAGACATTCCCGCAAACATGGTAGGTTGAAAGTGTTTTCCACAAACTCTACACCCTCTATGCAAATCTACAAGTGATTTTGCTCTAAAATCCTGCCTGTTTCAGTTCTTAACCCACTCAGAACATCTAGAATTTATTAAAATATTTTTCATTATTTAATAGATGATTGTACATACATGAGTCTGTCAAAAACATTAGAATTTCTAAAAAATCTTACTAGATTGTCTAAAATTCTAGAGGAAATATTCCTTATTGTGTAGATAAAAAAATATTTATGTACCTTTATGGATCCAATGGGAATTAAAAGAAGCTAAGACCCATATCAGCCTCCGTATTGCTTAAACAGCCGGGAACACAGCAGTAACCAACGCCCATTATAAACAAAATTGTCAAACAAATATAGTCGCAAAATATCACAAACACACCACAAAGTAAATTAAAATTATTTTATTTTAATTTACTTTTCCGCCCGTTCATATGACAATATGCATTCATATTTTTAGGTTAGAAATGTTGAGCAACGTTGTCAATTGTCAGATTTTAACAAAGAAATTCCCGAATCTTTAATTACCATTGCAGTAATATTTTTTTTATATTTAGCAGTAAAGCAAAATAGAGTTCAAAATTGACGATGTCCGTTGGTTTTATTTATTCTAAAATCAATTTCAATTGTTTTGGTTTAAATATTTCAATGATAATATTTTTTAACTTTTTTGTACAGAAAATGAGGTACATTTTTGTTACATTTCGTACTACGTCGCAAAATGCTTCACTCAAGGGACGTTGCCATGCCGCGTTTTTCGTAATAATAATGTTAATTTTTAGGCATACTTTAATTTTCCAAATATATCAAATTCCTCATAATTATGTATATTCGGTAATTCTTGTATACTTGCGTTACTTATTTCGTGAAAGAAACGCTAAATGAGTGAAGAAATGTAGCCGTAGGATTATAATATAAAAATACATTTTTCAAGTACTGAGAATTATGGGTCACCTTGGCAACCTCACAAAAACCTTGCGCATGGTTTTGATCCCTCTGCGCGCATATAACATATAAAATTAAATCTTGACAACGAATATCCCATCAGTGAAATTTCTGATTTGTATCTGTTCTGTGCCGAAGTAGTCCACATATAGCTTTCACAGTTCTGTTTGCTTTTCCGCAAGCATATTTTACATGTTGACTATAAGTTAGCCCTCTATCTAGTGCTACTCCGAGGTATTTTACTGTATTAGTTGGTCTAACGTACTTCCCACCGACTTTAAATTGTATATCACCTATGTTTGTCTTTCGGTATAGAAGTATAGCAGTTGTTTTTACCGGCGCAACTTCCAACTGGTTTTGATTCATCCACAATTATATATAGTATAAAGCCACTTCAGTTTTGCGTATCATTCCTTCGGAGGTTTCACCTGTGGCTAATACAGCCAGATCATCTGCGTAGCAGATTATTTTTACTCCTTGAGGTACCCTTATTTCCATTACGTCATCGTAAAGGATGTTCCAAAGGGTAGGACTGTCTTTGTTACAAGATCAACTGCATTTATTGTTGTGACTTTATTTTGTATTTCTTCCATTAATCTATTCTTTATTAACTTTTCATATACTTTAGCGGTTGCGTTAATCAGGCAGATTTGACGGTATTTAGTTTCTTCTACCTTCCTTTTTTTGGGCTGAGGGCATTTATGAGGATTAATTTGGAACTTTTCCAAATGTCGGGAAAATCGTTATCATTTAAAAGATTATTAAACACCTCCAAAAAGTATTGCGAGTTATTTCGGATGATAAATTTTACAACTTCTGGTGGTCCTCCGTCGGGGCCTGGGGCTTTTCCGCTTTTTAATTTCTCGGGAACAACTGAGAGTTCGTTTAATGTAAATCTTTTGTAACTATTTTTTTGGTCTTGTTTATACATATTCAGATTTATATCTTTGGGAGGCATAAAGAGATCTCAAAAAATGGCCAACTTCTCTTCAGTTTGTAAGGTCGTCTTTTGGTTAGTTAGCTTTACTACTTTGGGCAACCTTGGTAGATGACCTTCCCAACGAACTGTCCACACAAGGCTTTTATTGCGTAGGATATGCAGACGACATCGTAATTGTGGTCAGGGGCAAGTTTGCTGGTATGATATCAGAAAGAATGCAGACAGTCCTAAACGAAGTTGACAAGTGGTGCAAACAAGAGAGACTGACAGTCAATGCTCCGAAAACACAAATTTTCAATTTTACAAAAAAGATAGCACCAAAAGGCCTAAAACCACCAGTGCTAAGAGAAACGGAAATTTAATTTGCAAAGAAACAAAGTATCTTGGGATATTTTTTGATCAAACGCTTACTTGGAATACTCACATAGCGAAGGCAACACAGAAGGCTGCCATCTCTTTAGGTAGGTGCAGATGGATGTGTGGAAAAAACTGGAAACTTAATCCTAAAATGACTCTATGGCTATACACAAGGGTAGTAAGACCCATGATAACCTATGGGTCGGTGGCGTGGTGGACAAAGACATCGCAAGTGGGTGCGGTAAGGCTATTAAGTTCCACACAAAGGCTTGCGTGCCTGTGTGTAACAGGGGCGATAAAAACAACTCCCACAAATGCGATGGAAGTCTTGTTGAACTTACCACCACTACATATTTTCATACAAGGCGAAGCAGATTTGTCATGCACAGGTTAATTAACGGTCAGCAGCACATAAGTCAGACGCATAGTTGCAACCAGAAGCTAATCGAAGAGCTAAAAGCAGACAAAGTATTGGAATTACCAATTGATGCAACAGCTACAAGGTATAGCTCCAACAACAAATTTAATATAACCATACCAGGAAGGGAAGACTGGAGTAAAGGTGTACCCATTCAAACCGAGGCAACCTGGTATACAGACGGCTCAAAAACGTCAGAAGGCGTAGGGGCTGGGATAGTAGGGCCGCAACAAGGGAGATCCTTCCATGTAAACCTATCTAAGAATGTCACAATTTTCCAGGCAAAAATAACGGCAATCCACTATTGTGTAGAAGAAATAATAAGGCAACAAAGAACAAATCGTTCTGTAGCCATCTTCATAGACAGCCAAGCAGCGCTAGAGACTCTAGACTAGTGTGGGACTGTGTGCGTGCTCTGAATACTTTGGGCGAATGTAGCACTGTTACATTGGCCTGGGTGCCAGGGCACGAGGGTCACAAGGATAACGAAAAGGCAGATAAAAGGGCCAAACAAGGCTCATCAAGGCCATTCATAGGCCCAGAACCATTCTGCGACGTTGAAAAGGCGATCACGAGAATGGCCACGGAGCGATGGGTGGCCAACAAATCTCTAGAATGGTGGAGAAACTCATCAGGGCAGAGGCAGGCGAAAAGGTTCATTGTAGAATATTCGCCAAAATTCACTGTAGATTTGATGAGCAAGGACAGAAAGAGAGTCAAAGCTGTAGTAGGTCTACTAACAGGGCATTGTAAGCCAAATAGGCATCTAAAGCTGATGGGACTGACAGACGAAGCTATGTGTAGGTTCTGCTGATCTGAAGAAGAAACGTCAGAACACATTTTATGTCGGTGTGACAGCCCGGCAAATGTGCGGTTCTCGGTAATAGGCAATGATAGGCCATTGCCAGGGAGCTACATGGAGGGTTCAGTCTTCAAGTTGCTAAACTTTGTGAAAAGGATAGGACTGGAGAATATAATCTAAGGATCAGAAGGGGACCACAATAGATCTGAGAAGGTCCAGTGGATCAGGCCGAAAGCCACCTCTAAGAATCTAATCTAATCTAATCTAGTTAGCTTTAATTGTGTATTTACAATTTTGTATCCGTCGCCAAAAATATCCTCTTCTAAGTTTATTCTCATCTAAGTACTTAGTTCTTCCCATTTCCTTAAAAAAGAGGTAAAGCAGCAGTATTATAATAATTTGAAAACCAAATTTAGCTCTTTTAATTTTTGGATCGATGGGTGCTTTTTTCTTCTTCTTTATAATGGTAAACCCAAGGTATCTATCAAAATTCAGCTTTGTCGAAATTTTGGTAATTTGATCACTATTTTTATAGCTAAATTGACCGGACTATTAAGATATTTTAATAAATTGAAAAGAATTTGAGGTAAACCGTAATCAATCTTATCTGTCTTTGAAAGATTTCCGCTCCTCCAAAAAAAACTGTCTAATTCGAAAGTAAATTGTCTTTTCCTGTTATATTGTGTACGCTGATTGTCGAAATCATTCTTTCTTTCGCTGGACAGTCTTTACACCTAAAATGTGTAAAAATATTTTGAATTATAAAACTATTCGACAACCAAAATGATATATTAGCACAGATATTAATATACCATCTGTGATATTGGACATACCCAATTTAATGATAACTTACTTTTTAGTTGAAAATGCGGATTCTAAAAATACCAATATTTCAAAAATACTTAACAAAATTTGAAATTATGTAGACCTTTTGTTATAGTTAACTTTTCAAAATTAAGTAGAAACTGAAGAAATACTTTCCAGATATCAATAAATTGAATATTTGCAAGGTTATGAAGATCAACAACTTTACTGAATAACTAGTATTTTAGAATTGTATGCCAATGACAAATATGCATTTTTTAATTTCCTATATCATATATTACAGTTATAATAATAAAAATTATTTTTGCCTTCTTATCTTCAACCTTTATAAGATATTGATTACCTACAAATATTTAATCACCTAAATTGTACCACTTTGTAAATTGATACTGAGTTAAATGAAATAAAGATTAAAAATAACAGAAAAGCTATTCTACCTTTGTATTAATATAATAAAAAACAATTGACACTATCATCTTTCTTTCGCGCCTCCAAAAGTCC